TATTATAACAAAGTTAAATATTATAAAGTATATTCAATTCAAAATTGTCAATATTAAGAACAATTATTAACAAAATATCTAACTCAATTCATTTTTTAAACAAGTCAAAGCACTTTGAACATCCAAATTAATGACATGTGCAAAACATCTGAAATGATTTTTTTTTTCATCAAAAGAAATTTCATGTTCTTTTGTCCAATTTTTCAAAGAATGAATAAATGTATTGTTATAGATGCATTATCTGTAGTAACTCCTAATAACTGTGATACAAAATTACATATTAATATATATATTATAATTAAAAACATAAAAATAAAATAAAAATACCTTTTTTTGTATTAATAAGTTTTTTAAACCTGACACAAATGAATTTTTTATATTACTGCCTGTATGTGAATCATAAATTTGTACAAAATCTACTATAATATTTTGAAGTTGCCATTTGTTATCAAGTTATAGATATAAAAGATTTCATTGAAGCGGAAGTCCAGATGTCTGTTGTGAATGAGATTTTACTTTGCAATTTTTGAAGAACTGTTTGCATTTTAGCTAATTCCATAATATCTCTTTTTATTGTATCAGCAGAGAGAATTTCTGCATTGGGATAAAGTAAATATACAAAGTTAATAAAGTCTTCCTCTTCAACAATAGTAAATGGATGTTGCTTAATAACAATCCATTTGACAAGTTTATTTCTCATTTCTTCTTGATTATATTTCCACTTATAATAAAATTTATTATAAAATATGTTATTAATAATTTATGAAAAATAAAAATAAAAAACAATATATCTACCTTTGATGGACCAAACATTTCATCAATAGTTGTACTTTGTCTTGAAATTCCTGCTCTTATGGAATGTTGTTTCTTTAAATGTTTCATTAGATTTGATGTGCTACCTCCAGAACACACATGATAAACTACAATATTTACATATTGCTTTTTTACTTTTTTTAAAATCACTTGCTTTTTTGAAATGATTCCAAACTTGACTACTTGTTTGAGATTTTTGAGATTTTTGAATAACTCTATTTTTTGGTTGATTATCTTTTTGGTTATCATCATTATTGTCACTATCATAATTATCATTATTAATATTATTATCAATATCATTATTTAAACTATCATCATTATCATTATTAAAATTATCATCATTATCACTATTAAAATTATCATTATTATTATTATTAATATTATCATTATTATCATATTGCTGGCTTGTAATAGTTTGTAAATCTTCACAATCCATTTTTTAAAATCTAAATATAGTATAAAAAAAAGATAACAGTAAATTAAACTAATCAAAAAAAATTAATCGGATCTGAATTATCTAAACATAAAAATAAATTAATATAATTTATTATAAAAATAATAAATAAATAAACAAATAAATAATATAATATTACCAAATTTTTAATATAAAAATTAATTAAAAAAAAATGGATGAAAAAAATGAAAAAAGTTATTATTTTTAATAAAAAACTGTTAAAAATAATATTGAATATCAAATAATAATCTCAGATTTGTAGATCACTAGATCCAATCTATTTTTGGATTCAGATCGACAGATCAATCTGAATCCTTTTTAATTCTGTTCGGATTTCATTTTTTTGAATTTGATCTGATCTGTGGATTGAACCTTAAAATCTGATCTGGATCCGTAACAGTATGATTCATGGATCAATTAGGATTTGAATATTTTTACAGAATCTTACATATTTATACCTGCCACCCAAATTCAAAATCCTAATGCCGAAATCCCAAATGCCAAAATCCCAAATCCCAAATCCCAAATTATGATTAGTATTTTTTGCCGAAATCCCAAATCCCAAATACTAGTAATTTGGGATTTTGGCATCCCAAATCCCAAATGATTTGGGATTTGGGCAACACGTATATACATGTTTTCAAAACTGTATTCACTATTTTAACTCTATATTCTCCTGCAATCCATTCAAAATTTATAATTTGGTCTTTTTCTTCTTGACTCTCAAAAGATACTATAGCCACTCATTTCTTCTTCCAATATAAATTTCTTGAAAAATAGCATATTTTGGCATCAAGAAGACTTATTATATTATATAATTCCTGTGCTGTAATATCAGGTGGTAAATTGATATGATAATCATTACTATGTATTTATCCTTTTTCTTAAGTTTAGTAAAATTACATGTGGGCAACATTACTCTGTATAATTCTTCTCCAATAATTTGTGACCATTCCATTAATAGATTTTCAGCTGTGTTTTCTTTCTTAAATTGTATTATTGCTGATAACCACAATCCTCCTTTACTTATACTGCATGAGGTTACATTTCCAAATTTATTTTCTATTATACTTTTAAATTCTTGTTCCTCATGCTAATTGGTATATTCCTGAACTTAATTCCTTTTTCATTATTTGTTTTTTTATTTCAGTTTAATGTTACTTTTGTTAGAGTTAACCTATCATTTAATTGTGTTCCTTCAATTTCAATTTTATATGCCTTTTCCATATCTTCCTTTTTTTCAGATATATTGCAATATATAGTTTTTTATCTTCTATTATACTTGCATGCAAAATTATTTTGGAGTCCCAAAATTGCAATTTCAGGAAAAAAAAGTTGAAATAGTTTTTATAGAAGACAAAATTATTTTACTTAAAACCTAAAATTTTTTGACCACCCAGATTTATTCTTTGATTGAATATATACATAACTGGATACTTTTTTTACTTCCATATATAGAATAGATCTTGTATAAATTTCAAAAAGTCAAATATCTCAAAAATCCAAAATCAATTTTGGGAACATATATATCTTCCATATTTTTTTTCTGTTTTGATTGTAATAATATTAATTTCATTTTTATTTAATAAATTTGCTATTATATCAATTTTATTTTTTAAGTTTTTTTCATGAACTTCTGTTTTAATCCATACTTTATACTTTTGTAAATTAATTTTTTTCTTCATTCCTTATGTACACTTAAGAAACTATTTTCTAAGTTTACTGATTCATTATCTTCTATTTCTGTATTTGTAATATTTTATTCATTTGTTTTATTATTTTCTTTCTCTGTTTCAATAATAATCTCTTTTCCTTTACCTTTTTTATCTTTTTTATGTATTATCAATTGCCTTCATATTATTATCTATATTTTCTTCACTTATACTATCTTGATTTAATATTAAATTTTTTTTTCACTGGCAATAACTCCATGTTATTTATATTTGTCTCTATAGTTTTCATTTCTTTGTTCAAATTGCTTTTGGTCCATAAATATTTGCAATAATGTTTCTACTTGTTACCTTTGACTTTAGGATTCTTCTAGTTGTATTTAACTCGTTAATTTTAGTTCCATAAATTGCAATTGACCGTCTTGAACATCTGCTCCCATTTTCTATACTTGTTCCTAATTTATTTTGTTATTTTATTTGTTTTTTTATTTAATTCACTAAGAACTTCCTTTCCTTGAATATTTGGTGTAATTGGTCAGTGAAAGGAGTTTATTTATATTTTTTTTACTGATTTACAAAATTAACTATAATTATAAATAATACAAATAAAGAAGATAAAAATAAATAAAAGATAAAAATAATTATTTGAAGTGTTATAACATTTTCTCCTTTACTCTCAAGCTCCTGTGAGAAGCTCAATATCTGGTCTATATCTAACTTTGAGTTTAATTAAAAAGTCTTCAAACTCTTCATTTTTAATATGACTTAACCAAGTAAAAATAATATGCTCAAATCTTCAAGATAGAACTCTCCTACTATCTCAGTTACTTTATTAGACTTTTGAGCAATTCTCAAGAAACAAGTTCCATTTCTTTGAATTTGATTCCAGATTATACATGTTCCCAAAATTAATTTTGGATTTTTGAGGTATTTCAACTTTTTGAGATTTATGCAAAATCTATTCTATATATGGAAGTAAAAAAAGTACTCAGTTATATGTATCTTTAATCAAAGAATAAATCTGGGTGGTCAAAAAATTTCGGGTTTTAAGTAAAATAATTTCGTCTTCTATGAAAAACTATTTTGACTTTTTTTCCCGAAATTGTAATTTCGGGGCCCCAAAATAATTTTGTGTGCAAGTATATTCCAGATATCTCTTTTGATCTAGTTAGTGGTTATTACTTCTTCTTTAATTTTCTTGAATACTTGATCTCAAACCTTGGAATAAGCTTGTATTTTCTGACCATTAGATTTACTTGAATCAATAGTAAATCTTAGAAGAGTATCAAAATTTTCTTCATTATTAACAGTTTGATCTAATTCATATTCTGCATTAAATGTATCTTCAATGTATTTACTCATTGGTTTCTTCTTGGTTTTTGTTTCAGGAACTACTATGGTAGTTACATAGCTATTTACTCATACTTTAATTGTATTAGGATTGAATTGTGTATTTATATTAGAAGTTGGATAGAATCTTTGATAGAGGTCTATTAATTTTTGTTGTTGTTTGGTAGTCAATTGTAAATTCATCTTGTTTTCGAATTAAAATTATCCATAGTATCAAGTATATATATATATTAATTTCAATTTGTACAACTAAATTTTGTGTAATCAAGGGGTAATTATTGAATGTGGTTTTACAAGGTACTTCTGTTTGTAATGTTTCATTCTCTCTGCATAAATAGGCTTGTAGAGTACCTTTCCTAATTTATCACAAATTAGATATGTATTGTTTCCTAATTTTGTTTATATCCAAAATGGTCTATTCCATTTTATTGAAGATTTATCTTACCAAAAAATTGGATGGCCAATTTTCAGGTGATTTAAAGATCAGACAGCTGATTTTAGGTGATTTTTTGGCTCAAATAACCAAAAAATTTGCCAATTTTTGATCATTTGACCAGTGCCAATGTTTGAAAATCATGTATCAAATATACAACCTCTTCCTGAAAAAAACAAACTTGAATTACTTATTGTTTATCAGCATGAATAGTTGAAGTAATGATGCCATTGAATTGTATTTATAATGAAAGGTTTCAAGATCTTTGTTATGAAATAAATCCAAGATTTCAAATTCCATGTATCAATACTATCAAAAATAAAATTATAGAATCAATATTTTATACTAAATCAATACTTAAAGATATGTTTGAACAAATAATGTATTTGTTTGTAATTTATGGACACACAATTATTCACCATATATTGGTATAACAGCTTATTGGCTTACAAAAGACTTTATAATGCATCAAGTTTTAATAACTATTGAAAGCTTTGCTTATCCATATACAGGAGACAGAATTGAAGATTTTTTATGAAAAATTCTTACAGAATGGAATATTTCAGATAAATTATCTGTTGCTGCAACAGATAATGCAAGTTCAATAATAAAAGCAATAAGGTAATTTGGAACAACACACTTGTGTTGTGTTGCACATTCCATTCATCTTGATATTTCAGATGATTTATCAAAAAGTAAAATTTTTTGATTAATTGAAATAAATATAGAGTACAAGTTAAAAATATTCAAGCTAAATTAGCAAATAATCAAGAAGAAGCAAATATTTTAGAACCTGTTTCTAGTGACATTTCAACTCATTGGAATTCTACATATTTTATTCTTAAAAGACTTCTAGAACTTAGAAATGCAATTGAGAAATTGTTAAAAGTTTAATTTGAGATCCAGATGGGTGAATTTGTTCAGATTTTTACTAAAAAAAAGGTCTGGCAGTTTGTCAGAAGGAAAAAAATATTTTATAGTATCAAGTATCTATAAAAAGTTCATGTATAGAGTGTTTTTCAATTTTGGAATTTGGTAATAAAGCTCCGAATGAGTATTAAAGCTCGCGAGCCCAACGAGCCGAGTCGAGTCAAGCCGAGCCAAGTCTAGTATTAT